CATATTACTGTTATTTGGCAATACTGGAGTTTGATCACAGGGCCTTATGCTCCCTAGAGAAGCATTCTATCGCTTGAGCCATGTACTCATGTGTTTTTGGCTTTAGTCATTCTTCAGACTGGGTCTTATGCTTTTGTGGGGGCCCAACCTTAAACTGTGGTATTAACAACATTTACATAGCTCCAGCTATGTAGATAGTCATGCTGCTTGTCCTCAGCATTCTCCCCGTAGCCTTTTGTCTGTTGCCTTGCTGAAAATCTGACATCATCTATTCATACCATGTCTGTGGTATACTGAACTATTGAGAATGGAGTATAAATTAGCTTAGTGTGTCTTATTCTTCACGAACTCATCTGTCAGGGAATCTCCATTGTACATTTATAAGAAATCAAAACTGTTGGTTTTTCAACCTCAGAAATGATCAAATTAATTAAATCTGAAAATATCATAAATAAGTAGATGAGTGGACCCAAAAGATGTAATATCTATACACAGTGGAATTTTGCACAGCCATTAGAAAGCATGATATTATGTTACTTGGAGGGAAATGGATAGACCTAGAACAAATCATGTTAAGTGAGGTAAACCAAGCTCAGAGAGACAGTGTGTATTTTCCCTCATATGCAGAGGCTAGTTCTAAACTACACCAGGGCATAATAAATGATACAGGTCTCTAGGCATCCACACACAGTGAGACCAAAGGAGAATACTCTTAGGGGAGGAACAGAAAGGCGCAATGCCTATGTTCATCTGGTCATACAAAATAACAGCTATCAAAATGAACTCCAGAAAAAGGAAACAAGAAGGTTTCTTTCTTTTTGCTGTTTTTGTTCTCTTTTTGTTTTGTTTGTTCACTAATATATCTTTGTGAGGGTAAGGAGAGGCACAAAAATGGAAGGACAATTGGTGAACAAATGCAACAATGGTACTCACTAGACACTGTGTTGAAGATGAACTATACTACTTGTGGGTGAGGAGGGGAGGGGAAAACTGGGGAAAGAATGAGGGAAGGGGTGACATTGTCCAAAAAGAAACATACTCTCCTGACTTATGTAACTGCAACCTCTCTGTACATCACCTTTATAATAACAATAAAAATTAATTTAAAATATCATAAAATATCATAAATATCATAAATAATCTACTTCCTATGTCTGATACTTTGTTCATTCATAAAGGAGCTTAGATTCTACTGTAATGGGTTCTACTAGTGGTATGCTCTCAAGTGAATGTGATAGGTCAAGAACAAGAGCCTTTTTTTAAAAAATGAAACAGATTAGACTATATTACAAGCTGAATATCCCTTATTCAAAATGCTTGGAGCCATAAGTGATTCAGAACATCGTGTTGGAGAATAGAATATTCACATAATCATAATGAGATCTCTTGGGTATGAGACCCAAGTCTAGATATGAGTTTCACATACACCTATATACAGGGCTGGAAGGCAATTTGTACAGTATTTTGGTTTTGCCTACAGTTTGACTATAACCCATCATGTGAGGTCAGGTTTGGAATTTTCCACTTGTGACATTATGATAACACTCAAAAAGTTTCAGATCTTGGAACATTTCACACACACACACACAAATCAGACAATCAACAAAGGTAAGTATTATAGCATATTTTTTTCATTCATGAACACTGTATACACAACTCTAGACTGTGATGAAAAATATGTCTTTTATTGTGTGTCACTATCAGAGCTTGGAAAGATCCTGCACTAATGGCAGGAAGTAGACACAGAATCATTTTGCGACACTTGAGGGTATTAGTCAGTTATAATTATAGGCCCAGGGTCTGAAAGAAAAAAGATACTTCTCTTCTTTGTTTTTATATTTCATTCCAAGGGTGGTTTTAGTTTCAACAACTAGACAATGCAGAATTTTCCTGTAATGTTTTCCTCTTCCTAAGAGTTTATCTTCCCTCCTCCCCCCATGCCTCTATAGAAATGTAAATATCATGTTGACTAAAGCTAGGGTAATAAACTCTTAGTACCCATCAGACAGACCTTGCATTTTGCCTCCAGTCCACAGAGCCTAGCTTGGCATTTTTGCTTAATCTAAACAACGGTATCCTTGTCCAGTTGGTGTATAGTTTGCTAGAATCAGTGACCACATTTCAGAGCATTTTTGGAACTAATGCTAAATATTATCATTTCTATTTTTAAACATCTGTGTTTTCTTTAAAAGTAGTGGCTCCTTGTGTTGCCCTCTCTAAACTTATTGGCTGAAAGGGCTTTTTCAGAATGCTTACTTAGTACTTAATACTAGCTTCTCACAAGCTTCCTGAAATGTAATATGAAAATCCAACAAGCTCAGCCTTTGAGCTCTCATGTGCCTTACAAGTAACTGAACTTCAGATGTAGGTTTTTATGATAACAATCGCAAGAAAAGAGGAAGTAGACAGTAATCATAGCGAACATCTATTTTGAGTCATCATCCCAGAGTTCTGCCTTTTTTCCCCTTGTATACAATTAAAATTGTTATTTTTTTTTCACCAAATGGTTATACAACTTGCCTTTTTTAAAGCCAAAGCTACAGTTGCTCTCTGTGATGTCAAGGATGTGGAATTCCTGTTAGTACCTTCACTTCAGACTTTCTTCTCTCTCATACGCAAATGTTCAAATTTAGTCCAACCCAAATAGAACCTAGACTTGGAAGGAATAAATAAAACTTGGAAGATTTTAATAATTATAGACTGCATGTAAGGTTATATTTCATTGAGAACAGAATGTATCACAGAATAGAGAAGTGAAGCTAGATGCTAAATACGTTAAAAAAAATTAAGACAATTAAACAGATCTTGAAAAGAACACACTTAAGGACTACTAAATACATTATCTTATAAATCCCCTGGGGAAATTTACAAGGCCAAGCCTATTTTTGAAGTAGGGCCTCAATTTATGCTTTATGCTTGGGCTGACCTCAACTTCCAGTATTCCTACTTGTGCTTCCCCAGTAGCTACAGATGAAAGACGCTCACCACTGAGCCCAGCCATTGACTGAGATGGCTGACCTGGAATCTTGATCTTCTATTGCTGCCTCCCAAAAAAGTAGGATAAAAGGCTTGAGTTATTGTACCCAGACAGCAGGGATGATTTGTTCCTTTTCTTTCCTTTGCCTTCCCTTTCTTCCCCTGCTCTTTCCTTTCCTTTCCCTCCTTCCTTCTGTCCTCCCTCTCTCCCTCCAACCTCCCTCCCTCTCTCTTTCTTTTTCCTTCCTTCCTTCCTTGTTTCCTTCCTTCCTTGTTTCCTTCCTTCCTTGTTTCCTTCCTTCCTTGCATCCTTCCTTCCTTCCTTGTTTCCTACCTTCCTTCATTCCTTCTTTGCTTTCTTCCTTCCTTCCTTCCTTCCTTCCTTCCTTCCTTCCTTCCTTCCTTCCTTCCTTCCTTTCTCAGCACCAGGTCTTCTTAGCTCTTTCACTTAAGGTTAATCCATAACCACTTGAGCCATAGCTTCACTTCTGGCTTTTTGCTGGTTAATTGGAGACAAGAGTCTCACAGGCTTTTCTTCTTGGGTTGGCCTTGAACCTCAGCCCTCAGATATCAGCCTCCTGAGTAGCTGGAATTAAAAGTGTAAACTACCTGCATCTAGACAGCAGACCCTATTTCTAATCACATTTATGATGGAAACTTGGTTTAGAGAAGGTAGGTAGATGACTTGTACATGGTTACATAACTTCTTAACTGGTAATACTGACACTCAGAACCACATTTTAAAACCACATGCCAAAGTAAGATAAAATCAGTTCAATTAACAACAACAAACACAAGTTAAACTATTACGTGCTGAATATTGGAGGTGACATAAGTATGAAGAAAATGCAGGAACACCAGCCCTAATCTTGCTGCTCTTCTCATAGCAAATGGGAATGGAAGCTCTCAAACAGAGGTCTTCTGAGCTGGGACATCCTATGGTCAGATTTGAATTGCACTGTGGGAAACTAGTTAGACAAGAACATGCTGGAGACCAGGATTCTGGCCAGGTTTTTTTTTTTTTTTTTAACTGTAATAGATCCAGAGAGAGATGGCTAGGAATGAGATAGACTAAGGGAACAAGAATGAAGATATAAACAAGAGAACAGATTTGAAAACCATTTCCACGTTAGGTCTTGGGGACAGGCATGATGAGGGGGAGGTGGCAACAGATGTTTCCATTCATTTTGGGGGGAGTAAATTACGTGTTCTAGGTCAAGCTCTGTGCTGGGCCTAAGGGATATTCAAAGATAAACAAAGACATGTCTGGCCTTGGGGAATTCAGACCCAAACCAGACAGGTGAGGGCAAGGTGTGAGACACTGAACACAGGGCCTCGCAGTGTCTGGGAAGTAAACTCAACAACTGGGAGACCCATGTGCAGACAAAGCCGTTGCCATTCAGCCTGCAGCCGGCTGAGCGAGCACAGCGGCTGGACAGGACTCTCTTTGCATAGGGTCTCTAGGTCAGCCCTCATATTTCTACTGCAGTAGAAAATGCTGCTCACTTCCAGAGAGAATACATTGTAAGAATCGAGTTTGGGAGACGATGGTAAGGACTGTTTGTTTTGAGAGGTACTGACATTCATGTTCAGGGTAGGGAATCTGCAAAGGATGCTCCTGGAAAATTCAGGGGAGTGATCTTGGAATGGCCATAAGTGTCATTTGTGGCAGGGTTATTTCTAAGTGAAGAAGAGGACTGCAGGTGTTTTAGACTGTCTAGTCAGATGCTAATCGTACCCATTTGGTAATCAGTCAGGGAAAACCTCGTATTTAATGAGGAAGGAAGGTTTTTAAAAAAATGCCATGAAAATGTAAAGTAAGAAAACTAAGCAAGCTGAAAAGAGGTCATGTGATCACCAGGGGAGATGAGGACAAACAGGACAGCGATGGTGGTGGAGGGACCAAGCAGGGATGTCCAGGAGAACCCCGTATAATCGGGAGGTGGAGGTGAGCACACTGAGCCTATTTGGGTCACCCTGCAGCCACACTGCCATCCCTGAGCATCCTCCTTCATGTCTTACAGGGAGACGACTCCGATGAAGAAGATCTTTGTATCAGCAACAAATGGACTTTCCAAAGAACCAGCCGCAGGTGGTCTCGAGTGGATGACCTGAACACACTTTTCCCTGGTGGAGACAAGAATGGGTCCCCAGGAGGCCCGATGATGAGAAACACGACCAGCAGTGAGAGCGTCCTCACAGACCTGAGTGAGCCCGAGGTCTGCTCCATCCACAGCGAGAGCAGTGGAGGCAGCCAGTCAAGCCAGTACTGCACCGACAGCCCCGTCATGCTGGAGGCCACCCTGGTCAGCAGCAGCTTCCCACAGTCTCCCCGAGAGATTCTCAGTCACCCCTTTCACCTCAAGAATGAGAAACCCACCAGGGCCAGGGCAAAATCGTTTCTGAAACGCATGGAAACTCTCCGAGCCAAGGGAGCACAGGGAAGACACAAGGCCCCGGGAAGGACAGGGGCCCTGGTGATCAGTGGGCCTGTGCTCCAGCAGGAGGCAGAGTCCTCCAAAGTCATGCAGTGTATCCACATAGCCGACGGGGATCTGCACAACTCCCCCCCAGCTACCTGCAGGAAAGGGCTGCTGTACTCTGGCAAGTCAAGCAGGGAGAGCAGCCCATCCGAGCACAGCAGTGGGCTGAGCACCCCGAACCTGAAGGAGAGGAAATGCCACCATGAATCCAACAAGCGTGGGGGCATGTACCTGGAGGATGTGGATGTGCTGGCAGGGACGGCAGAGCTGCGAGATGCTGGAGACCAAAACCACACGCACAGCTTTCACTCTCAAGAGAACTTGGTGGTACATATTCCCAAGGATCACAAACCTGGAACATTCCCCAAGGCACTTTCGATCGAAAGCCTCTCACCCACAGACAACAGCAATGGAGTGAATTGGAGGACAGGGAGCATCTCCCTGGGAAGACAGCAGGACCCCTGTACTGGGGAGCCCAGGCTCATGGCTTCCAGCCACAGAGCCAGCCGGGTCAGTATCTATGACAATGTCCCTGGCTCCCATCTGTACGCTAGTACAGGAGACCTGCTGGATCTGGAGAAAGATGACTTCCTCCCGCAATTGGATGACATTCTGCAGCATGTCAATGGGCTCCAAGAGGTGGTCGATGACTGGTCAAAAAATGTCCTGCCTGACCTACAAACTCACGATGCATTGGTCAGGCAGCCTGGATTACCCTCCTTCCCACCTCCTAATCAGCTCACCTTAGATTTTGAAGGCAACTCTGTCTCGGAAGGACGGACAACCCCCAGTGATGTAGAAAGAGATGGAACATCCCTGAATGACTCTGAGGCCCCTGGGGTCAGAGAAAGGAGGGATTCTGGTGTAGGAGCCTCTCTGACCAGGCCAAACAGGTAGGTGACATGCTTCACTTGTTGCATTGGGTTTATGTCTTATTTCCTTCACCAGCTTGGAGTCATAGAGTGTTTACTCAATGCCTGATGGATGTGATAAAGTGCCAAACACGATTAGGAATTACTTGAATGCAAGGAGGTCTTTTGTTGCGTTGTAGTAATTGAATCCATGTCAGTATGCATTCATTTTTCTTGACTGTTTACCTTTCATTTCAAACTTAATTTTTATTCAAAGTATTTGTCACTTCCTATGCCAGGCAGTACACTGAGCATCACAGATAACTGAGATCCAATTCCTGTGTGCATGTGCTTCCCATTACCATTAACTAAACTGTCTCTACCTCCAATTTTATACACTTTGTTTTTAACTCCATGAGATGGAGAGATGTAAATCGAAGGATGAACAATTACTACTGAGATATCAAGATTAGCCAGGTACCAATGTTTCATACCTGTAATCCTAGCTATTCAGGAGGCTAACATCTAAAGATTGTGGGTCAAAGCTAGCCTGGGCAGGAAAGGCCATGAGACTCTTATCTACAATAAATTAGCTTTGAGCCAAAAAAGGTCCAGGACAGCATCCATGCCCTGAGTTCAATCCCTAGGACACACACACACACACACACACATACACACACACACACACACATACACACACACACACTACTAAGATTAAAATTACTGTTATCTCAATTGCTATTATGATTTCTGGACTTGAAGGCATATACTTCATAAATTTTGCTGACATAGGCAGCTTACACACACTGTAGAAGTTGATTTGCAAAAACTGTTTCAGAACCACCCTAGAAAAATGGCTGTGATAGGGCCTGACTGGTAAGAGTCAGTACTGTAGGGGGTGCACAGCGTGTTGAAGCACTAATGTGGCTTAGGGCTCACTGGGGTGACTTTGTCTGTACCTGTCACCTTCAGACTTCAACAGGAGCAAGAGTTAGAAACTGGTGCATTCCTATAATCCTTGATAATCAAGAAACTGAGTGAGTGTACAAAGGGAGTCTAGCAGATAAATATGAGAGATTCTTATCTCCAATTAACCACCAAAAACCAGAGTTGGAGATAGGATTCAAATGGTAGAGCACCAGTACAAGCCCCTGAGTTCAAGACCTAGTACCAGCCCAGAAATAAAAAGACAGATTGGAGTGGGGAAGCCTGGAAGGAAGAAAGAAATAGTCTTCAGGCCCAAATGTCTGAGAACTTTACCTGTCTGGCTGCCTGCCCTCTCTTTCTCTCTTTCTATCTCCCTCCCCCCTCTCTCTTTTTTTCTCTCTCTCCCTCTTTCCCCCATCCCACCTCTGTATCTATGTGTTTTTCTCCTTTCTGAATCACTGTTTTCTTCTCCTTTTTTCTCTGTCTCTCTCCCCTCTGTGTATGTGTATGTGTGTGACTTCTCCTTTTCTTCTCTTCCTCCTCCTCCTCTTCCTCCTCCTCCTCCCCCTCCCTTTCTCCCTCCTCCTTTCCCTCCTTCTCCCCTCCCCTCCCCTTCCCCCCCTCCTCCTCTTCCTTTTCCTTCTTCTTCCTCTCTCTCTCTCCCTCTCTCTCCCTTTCTTTTCTCCCTCTCTCTCTCCCTCTCTCTCCCTCTCTCTCTTTCTCTCCCTCTCTCTCTCTCTCTCATGCACACACATACATCATCATCTTCATCATTGTAGCTGCTCTCAATACTAGGGGGACAGATTTAGGAAGGAACAGAAATAAAATCCATTATGTCACTTGTTTAAATCTTACAATAAACAAATAACAACTTCTCTGAATTTATTAACTTGGAAAAAGTGAGTTCTCCTATTGCTTCCACACATTTGTGTCATCAGTTCCACTTGCTTTGTGATTTTCTTAGCTGATTTCTTGAGCTCTGTTTCGCTACTTCTGCACAAGGGACATCTTGTGCTTCCCAGTAATCAGTCCGCAGAGTGACTGTCCTCTTCTGCCCGTCTCTCTGCCCAAGGCGACTGCGCTGGAACAGTTTCCAGCTCTCACACCAGCCTCAGCCGTCCCCAGCATCGCCTCACATCAGCAGCCAGACAGCCGGCCAGCTGAACCTGCTCCAGCGCTTCTCTCTGCTCCGACTCACAGCCATCATGGAGAAGTACTCCCTGTCCAACAAACACGGCTGGACCTGGTATGTAGCACAATCATGGAGCCTAGCTGCCCATTCAGTGCTAAGTGTGCAGCTGTAAAATCCTCAGGGTTTACCCTTCAGCATCTGGGGAATACACTCTTGCCTGCAGTGCCCTCTCTCTGAAAGGCACACACATAGTTCTGCTAGCTTTCTGCCCTGTGGGCAGCTCAGCTCAGCCTGATACAGCCCATGAGAAATTCTGCTTGCATTGTAGCTCTCAGTTGGTTTCTGGGGAAGGCATTCAGGCTCGCAGAAAGCAAAAACTGACAAGTAAAGGGTGATTAATTGTGAACAGGGGAATTAAAAATAAACTTGCCATAAAATAATTCTGGCAGTTTGCAGAGAAACATCTGTCACTTGTACCTCCTGGCCCCATACAGAACTCACTGGGTAGAGCACTGATTTATTCAAAGAAGGTTTAATTCTTCAGATACATGTCTGTTTTTATTTCCCTGGTAAAAACAAAATGGGAATATGCCATAAACCTTAGTAAAGAACTGACAAAGGTATATGTTGGAACTTATATATGGAGCCTACTGTAGGTTGTAGATTTGAAAAAAAAGGGTAGGAAACGTACCTCATGATTATCCTAAGCTGTATATTTTATATATTAAGAATCAATGGTGCTTTTATAAAAAATAGTTTAGAAGGCCCTAAATTGCCCAGTCAAATCAATATATACTTGCCTCTTAAAAATTCCCTGCATAAAATAGGGCTGGCTCTAGAAAACTAAGCACACAGCCACAAAGTGTGATCCATCTTTTCTCCTCTCATTTCTCTTCCAACCCCAACCAGATTTCTTCTTCATAAGTTTTACATGTGTTTCCTTTTCTCCAAAGTGTTTGTCACTTGAGAGATGTGTCCATCGCAGCACAACTGGAATATTGTCCCCCTTGACCTGAACACGCAGTCACAACTGCAATGTGCACACATGAATCATGCTGTCTCATAGACATCACACGTAGGCAAGAGCCACGTGTCGCATTGCCATAGGCTGATTGATGTGGAGGGAAAGTTGAATTCTGCCTCTGCCTGTGGGGGTGTTCCAACAGGATGGTGGCCTCCCTCTCGCTTGCTTCTAACACCTCTCCCCACAGTGTGCCCCCACGGACTTTGCATGACCTGGTTTCTGTGAATTGTAGGTCTGTCCCAAAGTTCATGAAGAGGATGAAAGTTCCTGACTATAAAGACAAGGCTGTCTTTGGTGTTCCTCTCATAATCCACGTCCAGAGAACGGGACAGCCCCTGCCTCAGAGCATTCAGCAGGCCCTGAGATATCTCCGCAGCAACTGCCTGGATCAGGTATGGCTGGAAATTGCAAACCAGGACTTGGCTTGATTGGAGGCCAGATTGAGCCCCGGGACTGTCTGATATCAGGCAAGCCATACCATCGTGAAAGTGAAGAGCACTGTGATCTCTGTGTGTCTGAATGTAATGTGACTGGGAGTTACAGCCCTTTGAAGCTCTTTGAGTCTGTTGTGGTGTTGCCTACTTCAGTGACTGGGCAAAGTTAATGTTAATAGTTTCTACCTATGATGTCTGATTTACATTACCTAGAAACTGAGAGGTCAAGCATGGGCTACATTTCCTTTCTGTCTTTTCTTTTGTTTATTTGGCTAGTTGGTTGGTTTGTGTGTGTGTGTGTGTGTGTGTGTGTGTGTGTGTGTGTGTTTGTGTGCGCGCGTGCGCTCGCGTATGCGCACGCACACGCTCCTGTGCACCAATCAGTACAGAGACTTGAGCTCAGGGCCTCATGCTCTTGCTTGGCTTTTCACTCAAGCTGGGTCTCTACTACTTGAGCCATGCCTCTATTTATGTCTTTTTACTGATTAATCATAAATAAGAGTCTCATGGACTTTGCTGCTCTGGCTAGGTTTGAGCCTAAGTCCTCAGATCTCAATTTCCTGAGTAGCTAGGGTTACAGGCATGAACCACCAGAACCTGGCCTATATATTCTAAGTATTGTCTCACTGCCACCACTGACTTCACAGCATTGTTTCATCTCTGTTGGTTTTGCAAAAGAAAATATTTGATTTTTATGTCTCTTTTTAAAATTACTTTTTAAGCAGCACCATGACTAGAAAAACTTAAACCAAAGACAGATATATTTGCATTTTAATGTGTAAATAAAATATGAAATGTGTAACATCAGCTAAATCAAACATCCCTCATCTAAGAAAATTGATTACAAGCTTACCATAAACAAAAATTTCAGAAATTACTTTCTACCCCTGGTATATTCAAAGGACCACCATAATGGTGGGCTTGAAATTTTCCTATAATTTACAAAACAAAGCTTATGTCCCTCCAAACTAGCACTCTTTTATTTCTTAGACATTCTATATAGAATAAAATCATATTCCTGCTTTACAAATTGCAACCATGAGTGGTAGTGAGAATATATTCAGGCAGGGCTGGGAAGGTGGCTCAGTGGTAGAGCGCTTGCCTTGCATGCTCAAGGCCCTGGGTTCGATTCCTCAGCACCACATAAGCAAAAAGAAAAAAGCCAGAAGTGGCGCTGTGGCTCAAGTGGTAGAGTGCTAGCCTTGAGCTGAAGAGCTGAGGGACAGCGCCCAGGCCCAGAGTTCAGGCCCCACGACCAGACCCCCCCCCAAAAAAAAGAATATATTCAGGCAAATATTTTGAGATGGTCTCTGTTCTCACACTCTGTAATGATATGTGGAAGATTTGTACCAACCTGGAACTATTTGCACTTTTTATTAGATTTTTTTAATTGAGTTTTGTGCCATGAGCACAGTGAAAAGGAATAAGCGAAGCTACATAAACTCAAAAATCTTGGCTATGAAGGCATTAAGGAGACAGCCAAACTGAGACCACACTTGAAAACAAGATGATCTCTGGATGAATCAAATACAAGTTTTCAGTGGAGCAAAATACCACTTAAATCGCTATTTGACATCATCTTTAATTTAACTGAATATATGATCTCCTTGGACCTTTCATATGTAAAGAAAATATAAATACACATTTTTGCATATTTGAGTGTCATATGAAGAACACGGTGACCACGATTGTTTGTTGTTGCAATGATAGCTGTTTGGGCTTTGAAAATTATTTTGATTGCCTGCCCCCCCTTCTGTTTTATACTTTTCTGTCATTTCCTTATTTTTATTTTATTTTAGTTCATGTTAATAGTACGAGGGTGTGAACTCAGGACTTCATGCTTGCTAGGTAGGTGGTTCTTCTGCTTGAGCCATGCTGCCAGCCTTCCTGCCTCTTTCCTATTCTTCAGTTGTCCAACATTAATTGATGTGATAACATCCCAGAACATTAAGCCATAGAATCTGATTACTTACACATAATTGGCTTTTGTTTTGTTTAGGTACTAGGGCTTGTACTCAGGGTCTTGGTACTATCCTTTTAGTTCTTTCACTGAAGGCTGGTACGCTTGAACTACTTGAACCACAGCTTCATTTCTGGTTTTGTGATACTTACTTGGAGAGTAGAGTCTCACCCACTTTCCTGCCTGAGCTGGCTGCAAACTGTGATCCTCAGATCTCCATCTTCTGAGTAGCTAGGATTACAGGCATAAGCCACCAGTTCTCAGCTTCTTCACATAATTGTGTTATATTGTAGAGGTTCTACCAAGACATAATTGTATTATATTGTAGAGGTTCCACAAAGAATACTCATGAATCAAAGTTAATGTCCTAAGATGTTTTACTGAGAGAAAAAGTTCACAGAGATATATTTCAGTGAATAGTTGGGAATACCCACTCTGATCTTATTTCTAGTGTTAAAAGTATTACAACCATACCCTTTCATGTTGAATTTTATAGCTCCAATTATATTTTATTGGTTTGTTGGTAGAGAGCTCAGATTGTGTTTTGTGAGGGTAGCCTTTTAGTGAGACACATGTTTTTTTCAAGGGTTCTCAATTTTTGTTAATGTATATTCCAGCCTTGCCTCCTTCATGGCTCGTTTTCGAAGTTTTGGCTCTGTCCTTCAACAAGCACAGATTACATTTGTTTCTAAATCATGGCTAGTTAATGCTTTGTAGCCAAACCCCTCTCAGAAGAAAATAGTGTTTGTTCAGGAATGCCTAAAGGAAATGTAGTCTTTCTATGCCATCCCTTTAGTAATAACCTTTCTTGACTGCCTGGCACAGGTCAGACAAGCATCCTGCATGTTCTGCTTTCATTATTTATCCACCCTCACCTCCATCCTGGACTGTGCTAACATCTAGCTCAATGCTGGAGCCGATGTTGCTTGTAAATGTCTAACTGCAGAGTCCATGTTTATATCCACAGCCTACTACTGCACTGTTAGAACTGCTTTTTCCCAGTGGACTTTAGGGTGATTACCGACTGACTCCAGAGCTGAGGAACAGGTTAGGAAGTGGACCCATATAATTCATTGAGGAATCCACTTGAGATTTGTTAATGATATTGAATATTGTGTGAGTAGTGACCTTTTCTAAGAATGGGAGGAAAACATTTTTTTTTCTGCTCTGGGTCCAGCATTTGAAAACAGTATATATTTCTTTTGGACAGCTGGACTATGCTTTATATTAAAGATAACAGGCACATTCAACTAGGTGTGTTTTCCTCTTTGTATTGGCTGCTAGAAAGTTTAGAGCTAAATATTTATTCTACCTGTAGTAAATACATGTACTTTTTATGGCACAAATTCTTTGCCAGCCTATTCCTAGTTGTAGCTACCATTTCTACTTTTATTTCCCTTTTACTATGTTCTTACCTGTTACTTTTAATTGTATCTGTTGTATTTCATAGGCCATTATTAGTTACCCTAAATGCTTTCTTGAACAAGTTTGGGTATAAAGAAATGAGCTGAAATACCGACATTCAGTTCCCCACTAAAGAGTGGTATAGAAACCATCCCTTCCCCTGAAGGTCCTGGATTTACACCAGTGTCATTACCATAAGTAAGTACAGGTGCCAGTGGCTCATGCCTGTAATCCTAGCTACTCAAGAGGCTGAGATCTAAGGATTGCAGTGCAAAGCCAGCCCAGGCAGGAAAGTCTGTGGAGATTCTGATCTCCCATTAATGATCAAAAACCAGAAATGGAAGTGTTGCTCAAGTGGTAGAACTCCAACCTTGAGAGAAAAACAAAAAAAAAAACCAAAAACAAATGAGAGTGTGAGGCTCTGAGTTCAAACTTTAGTTCTAACACACACACACACAAGCACATACACACACAAACACACACACAAAGCCGAAGCTGTATTGAGAGCTGAAAGTCATATAAACAGAATGTGAGCCTTCAATCCTCCTCAATCCCTGTTCACCAGTATATTCCCAGTGTCCATCTCAAGTCCCTAGTAATCTTTGAAATCTGAGATTCCTGTGCTAAAAAGCTACAGGAACAAAGTTTTGTAGGAAGAAGTTTCCATTCAAGGGCATAAATACTGATTCTAAATGTAACAAAGCTGCATATGGCCACATTTCTATTGTATCAGTCCCAGAAAGAACCTATAGCATGTCAAAGGGACTTTCACTGCTTTAATCCTAGCAGCATTTCCCACCTTGTCTGTCAGGTATAGAAGACCATGGCCCAAGACCACCCCCGCTGGTTCCAATGGGAAAAAAAGTGCTAATAAGAAGGAAATAGGGGAAAACTAGAGAGGGGGGAAAAAATAAAGAATCCAAGAAACTTGGGCACAGATAAAGACAGTCCTAGAAAATTAAGCTAATGAGTCAGAAAAGAGAGAGGAAAAGGGAGAATGAGAAGAAAGCAAATGAGGAGATGGGGAGATGGGTGGTCTATCTTTGCTGACAGCATCTCATTGGAATTGAAGAGATTTGCCATTCCATCCCAAATGGTAGAAAACCAGACTTCCAATACCTCCCTCTAAACCTACACCCTGGACAAGAAGCAAGATGTGGGGAGATTCTGGCCTTGATCTCTGAAAGCCAAACTTTCTGCAATGAGCCAGTGGGGCCCCTTCCCTTTTTTTTTTTTTTTTGGCATGCTAAGCATTCAGTAGAAGCAATCAGCAACAGACAGTTGAATCCAGCCCACAGAGCCCTGAAACACTGCCAGCATTTCACCTCCCACACTCCCCAGTACAGAGCTGTTCCTGTACAATGAAGCACGGTGCATCTATCCATTCGCATCCTTGCAGATGGCTGTAGCTGAAATGAGGAAGTTTTAGCCTTCAATTAGGAACCATTTGTATTCAGACGTAGCAGTGTGGGAGAGGAGCCTTCCTTGCTTTGTTGTCTGCACTTTTAGTTCTGCCCTAAATCAACTGCAACCAGAAGTGTAGGTTAGACCCGGCTCCTGATGAATGTGAAGCCACTGCCATAAGTGGCTAAAC